AAATGAAGTTATCTATGTTGCTGCCAAAGCATGTTTGAAAAATACGTCATCAATTTCACGTCAAAGAATTGCTCTTGTAAGTTAAATATATGATTTGTGGGAAATATGATTTATTTCAACAGTAAATTTACAGTATAACAAATAATAATTTAAACTGATTAACTATAAACAATGAACAACGAACAAAATGAACAATTTATGAAAATGATAACTGATGACTGATCACTGGACACTGTGGTTTGATGATTGATAACTAGGAGCAACGGTCCCACTTCTTATATAGGCGGTAGAATGTTCCAGAACAATCGACCGCCGAAGAATCTTCTAGAGGCGGCGGCGGTCGAACGTTCTAGAACATTCGGCCGCCACATCACCCCCCTTCCAGTAATGAAATTACGATTCAATGAGTAAACTGTTTCTATCCCGCTTGATAAAACTGTGTGAAGCGCACTCTTCTTCCTGAACGTGTTGTACGGTTGTTGTCGGAGTGACTGTCCTCTGGAAATGAGTCGTCGGCTGGTTGCTGGTTTTCTGGTTGCTGGTCTTGTGGTCGATCTTCGTGCCCTTGTAGGTCATCGGGGCTGTCCCTGGTCACGTATGCTGGTTTCAGTCGATCAAACGATACAGCTACTTCTCGGTTACGTATTTTGATGACGTAATAGCGAGGGTGCCGTGATATGACTGGGAATGGACCTTCGTAGGGGTTCTCCAGCGGACCTTTAGGTGCATTGCGGTAGGCCAGAACGTGGGATGATGAGGCCAAATCTTTAAAAATGAAAGTTGGCTTATCTCCATGCCATGAAGTTGGTTGAGGCTTCAGCTCGTTGAAGTGTCGGCGAAGGCGGTTGACGTAGACAGCTGGGTCGGAGTCTCCTGTCGTTTGTTTCGGGTTCACGAACTCTCCTGGCAGACGTATGGATTCTCCGAAAACCAGCTCTGCTGAGGTTGCCTGAAGGTCTTCTTTCCATGCAGCTCGGATGCCCATTAGGACGATGGGTACACGTTCGACCCAGTCTACGCTTTCGTGGCAGCGTAGGGCTGATTTGAGTTGCCGATGGAAGCGTTCGATGATGCCATTGGATTGAGGGTGTCGAGCGGTCGTTCTTATGTGTTTTGAACCGATAAGCTTAAGGAGCGCATTATAAAGCTCACCATCAAACTGTCGGCCTTGGTCGGTTGTTAACCGTTCTGGGACACCAAATCGTGAAATCCACTCCCTGAAGATGACCTTCGAAACGGTGTCTGCCGTGATGTCTTCTAAAGGGTAGGCTTCTGGCCATCTGGAGAAACGATCGATGCAGGTCATTAGGTAGCGGTAGCCTTGGTTGAAGGGAAGTGGACCGACGATATCGACGTTGATGTGTTCAAAGCGGGAACTTGCGAGTTGGAATTCGCCAAGTGGTGCGTGGACATGCCTGTGCACTTTGCTTCGTTGGCAAGGGATACATTCTCGGGTCCAAGTTCTAACGTCCTTATTGATTGAAGGCCAGACGAATCTTTCAGCGATGAGTTTGACTGTTGCACGTGACCCAGGATGTGATAATCCGTGCAGGGATTTAAATACCTGCTTGCGGAAGGAGTGAGTGACAAACGGGCGTGCTTTATCTGTGGACAAATCGCAGAAAAGCATTTTTGATGTTCCAGGGATACATATTTGTTTCAACTTCAAGGGTGAGTTGGATTTCAGGAGACGATGGAGTTCTTCGTCGTTTTGCTGGGCCTGAGCAAGATCGTCGAAGTTGATACCCTCTGAAACAGCGTCTATCCGGGACATTGCATCAGCGACGACGTTGTCTTTTCCAGAAATATGGCGGATGTCTGTGGTGAACTGGCCAATGAAATCCAAGTAACGGAATTGACGTGGTGAACATTTTTCAGGTTTCTGGCGGAAGGCAAAAGTCAAAGGTTTCTGGTCTGTGAAAACCGTGAAACTTCGACCTTCGAGATGATGCCGAAATTGACGAATCGACTGGTAGATGGCGAGAAGTTCTCTGTCAAAAGCGCTGTACTTGGTTTGGGCTGGTTGTAACTTGCGTGAGAAGAATGCTAGTGGTTGCCATCCTTGGTCGGTGAGTTGTTGTAGAACTGCGCCAATTGTGAGATCCGATGCGTCGGTGAAGAGTCCCAAGGGTAGTTTTGGATCCGGATGCGACAGGAGAGTCGCGGTAGCCAGAGCTTTCTTGCAGTTTTCGAAGGCTTGGATGCCGTCAGGAGTCCATGGAATCGGTTTCTGTCCTTTGGCGTCTTTCCCTTGCAAGTAGGTGTGCAGAGGTGCTTGGAGATCGGCAGCATTGGAAAGAAATCGCCTGTAGAAATTAATCATGCCTAGGAACCTACGTAGGGACTTGACGGTTTGTGGCTGCTTGTAGTTGCTGATGTCCTGGACTTTCGATACTGGCGGTTTGACACCCGTGGAGTTGACGGTGTAACCTAGAAACTCGATCTCGTCTACCCCGAAAACGCTTTTAGTGACGTTTATCACGAGGCCGTATTTTTCGAGTCGCTCGAAGACTAGGCGGAGATGTTCTTCGTGTTCTTCTTCCGTCTCGGAGGCTATCATGATGTCGTCTATGTAGACGTATACGAAGTCAAGATCCCTCAGAACTTCGTCGAGAAAACGCTGGAAGGTTTGGGCTGCGTTTCGAAGTCCAAAACTCATCAGTGGAAATTCGAAAAGGCCGAATGGTGTTGTAATGGCAGTTTTCTTGATGTCGTCGGCTGCCACAGGGATCTGATGGTAGGCGCGTACCAGATCAATTTTCGAAAAGATCTTCTTCCGCGCGAGCCGTTGGGAGAAATCTTCGATGTGCGGAATTGGATACCGGTCTGGAATGGTCCGTGCGTTCAAAGACCTGTAGTCGCCACAGGGTCGCCATTCGTCGTCCCTTTTGTGCGCTAGGTGAAGCGCCGAGGACCAGCTGCTGTCGGAAGGTCGAGCAACACCCATCTTCACCATGGTCTCGAACTCCTTCTTGGCGATGGCGTACTTATTTGGTGCAAGTCGCCTGGGTTTGCATGAAACAGGCTGCCCTGGAGTGGTGCGAATGTGATGGACCGTGTTGTGCTTCACCTCGGTTGGCAGGCCGCTAGGTCGCGTCAGACCAGGGTATTTTTTTAGTAACTGGTGGTAACGCGACTCGCCGTTGAGCACCTTGATTTGTGGCACCTCACATTCAGCCGCAGGCGTGCCTGGTGAGGAAATCGTGGTGTTTGGGTCGACAAGGCGCCGGTGTCGCAGGTCAACAAGGAGTCCATAATGTTGTAGAAAGTCCGCCCCGAGTATAGGTTTCGACACATCTGCGATGATGAAGCGCCAGGGAAATTCTCGCCGTAGACCGAGGTTCAAGGTTAGGTTGATTCCTCCGTAGGTGGCGATGTCTGAGCCGTTTGCAGCGCTGAGTGTGTATGAAGATCGAAGGGTGCGAGTTGCAGTGCGTGAGCGAGGAAAAACACATACGTCAGCACCTGTGTCGATCAAGAATCGGAGTTGGGAGTTGGTGTCGGTTATGAAGAGGCGGCTTGTTTTCGGGCTCTTGTCATCTGTTGCCGCGTTTAATGACTGCCCTTCTCGTTTCCCTGGTTGAATTGGCAAGGTTGGCTGCATTTCTTCGCTTCCCTTCCATATGTGTGATGGTACCAGCAGTATTCCTTCTCGGATTGACGTGAAGAGTGGGAACGGGATGACGAGCGTGAGCGTGACTGGCCGCGATGAAAGGATCGGTTCCGACCTCTGCGAGGAGTGTTGCGTTGGGCGAGTGCTGATATTTCTTCCCGCAGAGTGAACGTCAGCTGGGCCATTTTAACGTTGAGCAACGCGTCGATTTGTGCGTTAATGCTGGCTAAGCTGACGGCCTCAGCGATTTGCGGATGAGGGAGAGTCGCGTCAGCTATCACATCGGCCAGCTCCGACAATTTTTCTAGCTCGGCGTCCCTCTGAGCAGCCAGGGCCACCTGCATCGCTTGTGGAAGTCGGCTGATCCAGATGGTCTTCAGCATCGAGTCCGGAACAGATGTACCTGCAAGGTCACTTAAATACCTTAAAAATTGTGAGGGCTTGCGATCGCCCAGAGTTTCCTTCTCCAACAGCTGTAGTGTTTTCCGTTCCTGAGAGGTGCTCAGCCGTTTGATCAGCTCTTTTTTCAGATGTGTGTAAGGCTCGGCTGCTGGCGGGTTGAGAATGATGTCGCGGACCTCGGTTTGGTATTTTTGGTCGAGTGCACCGATGATGTAGCCGAATTTGGTATCCTCTTGGACGATCTTGGATACCCCGAAGCTTCGCTCCACGACGGCAAACCACAATGTAGGGTCCTCTGGGTTGAATGGCGGGATGCGGACACCTATTGCGTTCACGTTGGCGTTGGCGACGGCGTTGGTGTTGACGTTTTCCATTTTGATAGTGGCTTCAGAATCCGGGTGTTGAGCGTTTCTTCAGATCACGTCGAGGTCACCAATTGTGGGAAATATGATTTATTTCAACAGTAAATTTACAGTATAACAAATAATAATTTAAACTGATTAACTATAAACAATGAACAACGAACAAAATGAACAATTTATGAAAATGATAACTGATCACTGATCACTGGACACTGTGGTTTGATGATTGATAACTAGGAGCAACGGTCCCACTTCTTATATAGGCGGTAGAATGTTCCAGAACAATCGACCGCCGAAGAATCTTCTAGAGGCGGCGGCGGTCGAACGTTCTAGAACATTCGGCCGCCACAGATTTAACTAAGAAACTAGGTTTACATTATTTTTTTATAATAACTATGCTATAGTTTCTATTATTGTTTTATTAAGACTTATATCATTATGTACAAAGTATATTATTTTAAATTTATATATATATATGAATACTTAGAGAATAGAGGTTTAATCGAGTTTTTCTTAGTATGATTAACTAATGTAATTTCTTCGAGAGCTCCATTTATAATTTTTTCTATGTAATAACTATTTAAAATTTGTTAGAAAAATAATTTATATGAAGTAAATTAATTTTGTTGGTGAGGAAGCTTGGCTATCCTGCATTTCATACTATTCCAATATGGAATTACCAGTAAAATTATCTAAAAATAATTAATAATTAATTTTTGACTAATGAATGGTTTCAAAAAAAAACTAATGATAAATAATAAACTAACTATTTTCGTATAAGTTTAGATTGTATGGTTAAAAAATATCATATTCTTTAATATTTTTAAATAAAAAAAAATATTAAACTTAAATTAAATTAATTTAAAATTTGAAAGGACAATTTTTATATTTTACCTTCCAGAGGATATGTAAGTTTGGTGGAGTGATATTACCCTCACATACATTAAGTGTATCTTCTACATCAGTATTAATTTCTATGATTTTAAAATTGTTTAATTGTAATTTAAATAATAAAACAATATATACCCAATTAATACTTACGAAACTCTGTAAAAAAAAAACCATCCAGGAAAATTCTTTAGTATTTTAAACATTTTACAATTTTCATTTTCGGTAGCAATTCTCGAGTTATTACAGAATTTTACAATACAAACATAAACCATTTTATTAAATATTGTATAAAATATGATGGAAAATTAATGAAATAAAATGATTAAAAGAAAAATTCTTATAATTGTTGTGGTTCGGGTGGTAATTATATTGAATAAATAAACAACACCGTGATTAAATATCAGTGAAAATATATTTTACAATTGCTATATCCGTAAGATTACATAAAAACAAAATCAGTTTCCAAAGGAAGTAGACAATAGCCAAAATGTTAATGTTATAATATTAATTCTTGTTAGTGGCCGGCGGCCTGGACCGGTTCAAGCCGCCCGTCAGCCACTCCATATGGTGCGACCTGCCGGACGTAAAGGGAAAGCGCCGCGATCGCCATCCAGTGGTAAAGCTGGAGTCGCGATGCGACCGCGACATAATATATATTTTTACTTAACTGGTATTATTTCTAACTGGTATTATAAGGTACTTTAGCCTCCAGTTGTACCTTTACAATTAAATGTACTACATTTTTGGAATATACTTCAACTATACTTTAGACTTAACATAACTCATTTGCATTTTTAACCACAAAAAAATATTGAATACATAAATTATAATGTACAGAAATTTATGTGAGGATTAATAAAAAAATTCGCAGTAATAAATTTAAAAATTATATAACTAAGTGAATTAAAAAAAAAATCTGTTCTTAGATTAAAGATACCTCTAGAATTATCACCATTCAATAGCCTTATAATGTAAAATAATTGCGAACGTATCAATTTATTCTGGATACATCGAACATGACTTTTTCATAGCAAATGTCAAAACTCGTACATGCAACATATCTTTCTAAAAATGTTAGCATAGTACAGCCAGTTTTCTTTTACATTTACAATTTTATAGCGCGTACTAGTGACATAACTGTATCGATACATCAAACTATGTACAGCCCGCTATTTTTTTATTATAAGTCATCATTTGTTTTGAAAGTGTAATATAAATTAAAACAAACTTTCATATATCAATTTGAAATTTTGTAGGCAGTTCTCAAAATCAAATGCATATTTTTACATACAGGGTGTTCAGTAAGTAAAGAAATAGGTCTGTTGTTCAAACAATGAGAACAATAGATACCCGTTTCCTGACTTACTGAACACCCTGTATATAGGTTATGATAAAAAAGAGGAATCTTTAATTAAAGAACCAACTTTTTTGTTTTAAGTTCATTTAGTCAAATAATTTTATCAATCAATGAATACTTATCACTTTTTTTTTCTAAGTTATCAAATCACGTAAATAATAATTTGTGTATTTCATATTTCTTGTGGGTGATAGAAAGTCTAAAGTAGTCTTAACTGAAGTGAAGTATATTCAAAAAAATGAAATACAGTTAGTTATATAGGCGCAACTAATAGCTATGTGATATTGACCTCACATAAATGTAGGTTATAATGTGTTATTAAATAAAAATATTTTTTAGGCTGAGAAAGTAATAACATCCACTGAAATTTTATTTTATATGTGCCTATATAAAAGTAGTCCAATATAAATTTCATTACCGTATAATATTTAACGTACATTCCATGAAACATTAAATTTTTACTAATATAATTAATTAATCCTTATAAACAAGAACACACAAAAATTAATCTTATTATAAAGTAAAAAATAATTCTAATTTAATAAGGAAATCTCAATTTGTATTAAAAGTCATTTGTTTCCATGACACTGTAACTTTGAACAATCAAAACCTAAATAAAATGTTAAAAGAATAATACACAAAATTTAAAACAAATATTACTGGAAAAATCTTGTAAAAGACGTTATGCAATTTATAAAATCATGTCCAAATTGTCAACCAAACAATATACTAAATGGAAATCCCATAGGTAAATTGAATCCAATACCAATAACAAGCAAACCTTTAAATTGACTTACTTTTGACTATTTAGGTCCATTAAGCGCTAGTAATAAAAACAAATATAGAATAGTAGCTGTTTGTAATAATACAAAATTTATGTTTACAAAAGCTGTAACAGCCGCCATAGCGAAATCAATGGTTAAATTTATTATTCAGATAATCACACAAGTGGGTTGCTTTCGATATTTTTCGAGTAACGGAGGAACTCATTTTAAGAATGAGTTAGTCAAAAAAACATATGAAAACCTAGGCATAAGGCAAGAATGTTCAAGAGCATATTCTCCACAAACGCAAGGCATTGTTGAAAAAATTAATGGTGTAATTTGTGCGTCCCTTCGAAATTGTATTGAAAATAATAATCAATCTAAATGGTCATATTATCTGCCTTACATAACACTAGCATGCAATGCAAAACCACAATCTAGTACACGCTACAGCCCCTTCTATTTATTACATGGATTTGAACCATATTTCCCCATTGACAACAAAATATTACCTGACGACATACCCTATGACATAAAGCAATCATTAAAAATTCTACATGAATACGAAGCACAATTCCGTTAAAAATTCAAAATATTCAGCAAACTAAAAAAATAACAGTTATGAAAAAAAACGTTATCCTAACATTCGATCCTGGTGCTTTAGTGTTAGTTAAATTTCCATTTAACGAACATGGAAAATCACAAAAATTAGCACCTAAATATAGAGGGCCTTTCAAAATTATAAAAAAAATTAATGACTTAAATTACAAAATTCAACTAACTCTAAATAACAAAATTACCGAAGATATTATTCATGTAAGACTAAAACCATACTACCAAAGACTCACCTAACAACATAAACTTTTCTCTAACATACTATAAATACATATTAACACATTTATTTTTATCATAGTTATTATTCATTTATTAATATAATATGTTTATATTTTTTTTAATATTCACAAAAACAGAACCAATATATCAGAATGAACTCATCATTTAATAACACACACCCACACATTATGTGTCCAATAGGACAATTATGTGTCAATTGCACCCAGAAAAAATGGCTTATGCAAACAGATCATTATATTATAGAACAGGAGATGAATTAGTCAAAACACGTTGTGGAGTATTTTACGGGCAAAAATATCGTGTGGCTGGTCAACGAACTAATATATTACTCAAGGATAGATGCAGAAAGGAATTTAAGATACCATTACCTAATTCATTACTTCAAAATTCAACAATTGCCAAAATATAATTACGATAGATTCCAATAAATAAAACGAATTAAAACATTATATAACAGGAGTTTAACGGCAGATAATAACAAATTACATACCAACTATTGGAACAATCTAATTTATTATATATTAGTAGAAGATCNATAACAAATTACATACCAACTATTGGAACAATCTAATTTATTATATATTAGTAAAAGATCACAATATAACAGACACTAATTTAGAACCTCTAAAAAAATACCACTTAGATTCAAAAATAATTGAAAATTCTAACAGAAATGATAAAATTAAACATCTTGCAGACAATTCAGATGAATATTACGTCGATTTATACAATACCAATATATACTTCACAAATTCGACCTCATCACAAGTGCAACTTCAAGTCATCCTTTTTTCTTCGACAATTATGACACTATAAAGGATAAAATAAAATATATCAAAGAAGAATTTCAAATGAAAAATATAATATACGAATCTGAGCCAGAATGGTAAAATTTTAACACACTCAAATACTGCTACAATATTTCAAACAAATTTTACACCTAGTAATTAAAAAAAATTGATTAATCATATAATTACCTTTTTATATATATTATATTCACTTATACTATACACTTCCTTATATAACTTCATAAATAATTATAAATAAAAATCAGTTTTTTTTTGTAATTCTCATTGTCATTATAACATTGTTCAAAAAAATTTACTTCAAACACACAATTACAAAAATATTGATACATATTCATATCAACTACATTTATTAAAATTATACATATAAGAAATTCATACAACTATTTATATCTTACATACGAACTTAATGACTATTTTATATATTATACCTTTTTAGAAAATACAATTATTATTATTACTTTAACTATATACTTTTATTAATTTTTTTTTCTTTCTCTATTCACCTTCTTTTTTTCTGCTATTAAAAATATGCTAATCTTTTAATTTATGCACGAACAGAGTGCCTATCTATAATAAAAAATATTATCTATTACACAAAAACAAACAAAAAAACATAACTTACAAAATCTCATCACAATCTATACTATTGAGGTACAGCTGTGTTTCTCCAAAATGAGAACTCCTTCCGTACTCATATATAGCTTTTAGTGCAAAATAATATATGCCACTCGTAGCGCACAATATCCCATCACAAGCTTGTGGCAGGTTCAACGGCAAAATATTACATACCTTTCGCCATGAGGTAACATCAGCCATTGTCCCTGTCTCCTTACAGCAATAAAGCTCGTAATGATCTATTCTTACGTGCTGTACCGTCAACTTAAGTCTCCATATCAGGGTGAACTTCCTACCAGCATTACTCAATTTCAAGATCGGCCTACCTGGTACTTTTTTTCATCCCGATCCTTCACTAACATTAAAATGGTTAGGCAACACAGGTGGATAGCTAAGCCTAATCCGTCTTTCGCTGTTCACCGATCTATAGGAAGATATGATTATCAACTACACCACACGTTTAATTTAACTCGAAACTACACAACGATGCTTACGAACGTAAACTAATACGAACGTACAACTAAAGACTGACCTAATATTTTGAATTTCAGAATCCAACCTAGATAATACTAATAACAAATCAAATAACCCTACCAAAAATATATACTTAACAAAAAATCTTTCTTCTATATATCTATAAAAAAAATACCCTATTCTACAAAAATCTAACCCAACTCAATCACACACAAAAAAAAAAGGGATCTCAGTATAGTATAACAAAAAGATTATTAGGAGTAACGATAAATACTTATTTTTTACTTTTCTCACGTTCTTATTCTTTTTTATTCATTTTTCTCTTAGGCATTATCTCACAAATAAATAGCTATCTAACAACTATGCATCATTATACTAAACAACACGAATATCTTCTTCTATAAACTATTAAATATTTACAAAATTCCGTAGATAATAGGAATAACTGGTAGTGTATTACATTTTATGTGTAAAATCACCATACTCTAACATTATTACAATTACTCTTATTATATATTAAAACTCCTATCCAAGATAACATACTAACCGTTTAAAAAAAAAAAAAAAACTAATAATTATTTCACTATCCTTAATTCATACTAAAAAAAAAAAAAATTAATTAACAAACGAATTAAACAATTATATATTTTATAACCACTCAATACATTTAAAACCATTATTGCAACACATTGAATAAATTAGAATTATTCAATTTATAATATACTCAAAATTTTTTGAAATTAAACAAACATCCCTTGCATACAAATAAAAAAAATAATGAAATAACTCATCTACTACTAATATATAGATTACGATAATTTTTTTTCCTAATCAAATTAACATCACATTATGTATAACACAATAACACACATTTCAATAAATATTATATACAGAGTGGCCCACCACTCCCTGACAATTTAAATAACTTTTGATCCAGTTAATATTTTTAGCTGATTTTTTTTTTTAAATAATAGTAATACGTTAGGTCCATAGCTATATCTCAAATTTAATCGCTGTTAAAATTAATAAAATATAATATAGTATAATTAATAAAAGAACCAACTTTTTTATTTAAAGTTCATATAGTCAAATATTATTTTCAATTAATAAATGTCCATCATTTTTTTTTATTTAAAATATTAAATCTCGTATAAAATAATTCGAGTATTCAATATTTTTTGTGGGGGATAGAAAGTCTAAAGTGAAATTATTCCAAAAATCTAATACATACAGTTGTATGGGCGCAACTAGAAGCTATGAGATATTGACCTCATAAAAAATGAAATAAATGTATTCTTAAATAATAATAATTTTTAGGGTAAGATAATTATAATAACACTCACTAAAATTTTATTCTACACGTGCCTATAGAAGTTTCCGCAAAATGGAAAACCAGTTTACATTTAAATTTAACAGTGATAAAAATCACTATAGTAATATTTTTCAATACAAATTGCATCACTTTTTAAAATTTAACATAAAACGTTGAATTCAAAATAATTTAATTAATTAATCCGTTTACAATAACTCGAATTTAGGTAGAAAATGTACTTTTTATTTAAGCCAATTAATATAACTAAATATTTTTAATGATTGGCTAACAATTATTAAATTTGTTTAATAAAATAACTCAGTTCGGTCACTAAGAAACTAAGAAATCAATAAAAATATTTTGTTATATTAATTGGCCTAAATAAAAAATAAACAAGACTTTTTGGCCAACGACAAAATAACGTTACTAAATCAATTTTTTTATTTTGTATAACTGGAAAAAATATAATTTAAATATTGGCTGAAAATAATCTATTATGGTGATCGTTAAATAACATATTTATTTTTGAAATAATGAAAATTTGTTTTAGGAACGTTATTTGTTGTTGGCCAAAATATCATTAAAAAATTAGTATAAAATATCTAGTAAACTGAAAATGCATTGGGACTTTTAGTCTAACCAGCGAACGAAGAACATAGAAGCTCTTGTGGAAGCCAAACTAGTCTATTAGTCTCAGTCGCGTCGAAATCAAAATTCAAAAATCTTGAAATCAACGCGACATTCGCAAGTCTATTTCCGAAAACAGCCGTCAAATTCATTTGCTATATTATTGAAAATAAATATGGTACCTTTGGAGATAGGAGATCGGATTGTCATAAGGTATCATGACTACATGCAAAATTTAACAGTTACCAAAGTAAATGACAAAAATCTTGAACAACCTGAAGAGTATCGCGTTAAACTTCAAGGAATATGTGGGCAATTTTTTGACATGTCCTCGATGAATATCCTTACCAATGTTATCAAAAAGAAAGAAGTATTTAACATCGTAAGTGAAAAATATGTGTACATAGCATAGTTATTTATACTTATATTTTTTAAGGCATGTATTGACAAAAATGAACTCGTATTGACATATTCAACATCTAAAAAAAGTCTAAACACTCAGATTTGGAATGCTAAAAATTTGAAACCCAAAAACTTATGAAATATCGTAAAATTGACGAACAAGAGTCAAATAAATTCAAACAACTCGAAAATAGACAACAATATAATAACACCAATAATACACGTCATTCAGCTCAAAACACTTCCGTATTAGCTAATAATTCCTTTAACACAAACATATCACAGTTAAAAAATAATCTTTCAACTCGACCGTTAAAAATATTGCCGGGAAATATTTACACGTCAATTCAAGAAAACAACACTTTAATAAATAATCCGAACAACTTTAATAGAAAACCAGTTAAGAAATTAACAAAAATTATTGAAACATCAGAAGACCTGGAAAAAACTAAAGAAAATAGAACTTTACGATGTGAAAATAATAATAACAAAAAAATCACTACTAGAACTCGTCCACATGATATTAAAAAACATTTATGGGATAAAAGGTACTTATTGTTCTCTAAATACGACCAAGGAATCATGATGGACAATGGTAATAAAATAATTATTTATACAAACTTTAGTATTTTACTATTAACGATAGCATTTTTTTTTTTTCAGAATCATTTTACTCCGTTTGTCCCGAGATCTTAAGCAAACATATAGCGTTGAGATGCCCTGGTCTAGACGTCGCTATGGATCTGTTTTGTGGTGCTGGTGGAAACGTCATCCAATTAGCCAAGAGATACAAACATGTAATCGCAGTGGATATCGATGCTAATAAATTAGAATTCGCCAAAAGAAACGCCGAGATTTATGAAGTCAGGGAGAAAATTACATTTATACAGGAGACTTCTTCGAAATTGCAGAAACTTTGAAAAAATATAAGCCACAAGTCATAGTGACGTCTCCCCCATGGGGCGGCCCATCGTATAAGAAACACGAAGTTTACAGTCTCGAGAAGCATATGTGTAAAGACTACGAAGGAGGCGGTAGAAAACTCTTCGACCTGCTGAGAAGTATTGCACCCAACGTAGCACTGCACATACCTAAAACTACAGGTCGTAACGAGGTAAATTATTCCATTTTCTATAGGTAAACCGCAGTTGTAGTTAATGTTGAATAATTAATTTTCTAGTTAATACAATTTGGAAAATTATTCGATCTCAACATGAAAATTCAACACAATTATATCGACGAAAGACATGATTCGATAACTGCGTTTTTCGGTCGATTTTTCAATATGAACACGAAATTCTTATCTAACGACAACAAACTTTATTCAGCTCAAGACCGACTTAACCAGTACAAGAACACCGTTACTCCGAAAGAAACGCAGCCTAAACAGTATGGCACAGAGAACACAGATATGAACCCATATGAAGTTAAAGTAAAATACTGCAAAGAACGAAATCTCAGCACTGAGACCTATACAACAAAAGACCTATGTACTAAGAAATCAACATTAAAACTAGGCGAGACGCAAAAAGTTAGTTATTTATAATTATCATAAATACAATCATTTATTACTATAATATTTCCACAGATAATGATAGTTCAAAAACGTACGAAGACGTGTTATCTTGTACACTCTGTGGAGAGTAGAAATTCTGTTATCACCTTGTGCGATAAACTACGCGAAATGGAAAATAACTTGAGATGCATCCAGAAAGTTGAAAAGTACGACATGTGCTTGATATTTTTTGGCGCTGAATGGTACCGTGGGAAAATTATGGACGAGACGAACGATGGTATGTAAAAAATTTACTTGATTGACATAGAACAAACGATGTTGTTTAACCGAAAAGATGTCTAAGAAATGCCAAAGCAATTTGAAGGAGAGTCTTTATTAATTGAAATTGTCGTAACACCTCCGCCAAAAGAAATGCTAACTACTGTTTATGCTAACGTAGAAGCAATAAAAACTATTGGACCGAGTACGGTGGTGAAACTGATTTGATTATAAATTACTATACTACCTTATAACTCCTATTCATTTGCATTCGACAGTCAATGTATATATTCCTTAACGCTGTTAACAGAAGATTACGGGCTGTAATGATGTCTTTTTATATTATATATATTTTTTTCATTACCTTTGTTATGAACTATTTGTATTTTCATAACTAATCATCTTATTGCTTTGTTTATTATTTATATATTTGCTTGTAGTTACATTTTCATTTTTTTTTTTTTGCTGTATTGTTAAATTTTTTTGTTCGCTTATCTGTTTAAATCAAATAAAGCTGTTCGACACTTATTAAACATTGTTATCATATAATTTTATTAAATTATTTTGTACGTTAATTAGTTAATACATTTTCAATTGTAAATTAACCAAAGAGTTCCAATAAGTTAATAATACACTATGTATTAATGATAGTAACAGTACTTCTTTAATTATTGATCATAGTGTCCCTGAAACTGTTCTAAGGCCTATATTATTTATTTTATATATAAATAATTTACTTAATATTTAATTTGAGGCCAAATATGTTTTGCTGATGATACTGTCATCAGTAATCATGTCATAACTTTAATTTAGTTCTCAAACGTTAAAGAAACACAATTAATGATTGTATTATTTTATTCTATACAAATATCAGGATTAATTCATTGAAAATTTAAATTATAAAAATGATTGATTGTTTATCATAACTTTCAACAAATTTCATTAAAATTTCTATTAATTCTAATATTTAGTATATTTTTACGATTATAACAAAAATTAGGTATTTAAAATGTAGTATTTAATAAATATTTTTAACATATAAATGAGATATATTGCAATAATATAAATAAATAATTTTACAAAATTAAAAAGTCCTTTATTAAATTAGAGGAAATAATTTCCTCTACAACATTATCAATAATTAAAGAAGCTATATGTCAGATTTTTTAAATTCAGACTTGCATTCTTATCTTTAATCAGTTATTAAAAAATATATTCACAATAAAAGCACATAAAATATGACTTGTATTATTGTCATACCTATAAATTGTGTATGTTTTATTTTTGTTAATTTTTCATCAATTTATGTTACACATAACACAAGACGTCGGCAATAGATATGAAACCAAACCAAACCCAACCGATGAGGGCATTGAATCGGTAAAAAAATTCCCTTCCCCTAACACTATTATATTATATGGTTCTATGTGGAGCTGAGTTACAAGAAAATTAATTTTCTACTACAATACTTGAAACCTCAACACGTAACATCTTTCGATTTTTAAATGGCGACTCAATTTATTTTTTATACCATCAAATTTATCATTTGAAAGAAAATGTTTTTTGAATTATTCGATTACAATAAATTGAGATTATTTAAAGTTAAGGTACAATCAGAAAACCATACTTATTTTTGAACGACGACAAAATTATCATGTATTATATCAATATATTGTACTTCTTTTTGTATCTTGTTATGATATAAAGCTATAGCAAAAATTAAATTTTTCATACAAAACAGCTAAAAAAGAACTATTATTGTTAAGATAATATAATAATGATTAGCTCAAATATTGTAGAATTTAACAGTTATAATATTTTTTTTGAGCATTTTCTAAGGAATCATACTGTTAGTTAATAGGAAACTTCAGAACTTAAGGTAGATATAGCCTAGCCAGCTATCCCCCGTTGGTCCCTTAGAATACTGTTGATGGGCATTTAGGCTCAACCCCTAAATATTGACGTAAGAGTACAACGTGTGAATTCAGAATCAACGTTGGATTGTCTAAAATATCGTTACGTTTCATGGAATACGAGGTAAGTACTTATGTACTTAAAGTGATTTATGCTTTTAAATCATAAACAATCTATTGCGTAATAAACTATCAAGATAAATTATAAATTTTTGTAATGTTTATTAGAACATTTAACTATAAAATAAAAAATATTTCAGTTAATTTTGTCAACTAATAAAAGTGCACAATATATATATATATATATATTATAAACATAATACTTAAAAAGTATTCTTAATACATATTGTGTTTTTTTAATTTTTAGTTTATATATAAATACAATATTGTATTAATATATACACTAAACATTTTTATATAAAGAAAAATTTATTTTTCTTAGAAGATGTTGGAAAAATATTTTCAAAAATGTTTTATTAACAAATTTTTTATAAAAAACATTATTTCATTTTTATTTTATATTTTTAAAAACATTTCATTGGTTATAGGGTTTATCATGTTAATTAACCATTGTTAATCATGGAAAACATCCTATATGAAATAAATAATGGTTATTAAAAAAATAAAAAAGAACAGTTTTTAGATATTTGTATAGTAATTAAACACATAATATTCTTTTTATTTTTCTTAAAATTTTTTTTAAAATTTAATACTCTATTTTTTGGCTTTATTTAAATGGAATAAAAAAGTAAATTTTGTGTAATGAAAATGTTATCTTACGAACCACAATTTACTATAGTATTTTAATTTTCAGCATAAAGTTTTAACATGTATTTTGCAACATAATTTATCGTAGCATATAAATTAATTAGTCTTTTAAATTCAGTTTTAATGTCTTCATCTATATCTAAAGCTATTACTTTTGGCAATGTTACTAAGCATGTACATCTTCTATAACGCTTCTGCAAATTAATACAACGTTCAATAAATCTTTGTTTATTGTTTTTTTGTTTTGGAGATTGATTATATTCATTAAATATTACAATAGTTTGATCAATTGGATCTCTACGTAAACGATAAATACTAAATTTTTTTAATAGAAGATTGCACATAGATGACACTATATGAAAATGATCACTAAACGCTTCGTTTTCACTTGGTAAAGTCTGTAGCATCTTTTTTGTGGAAATATTATATGCCATCAGTATTGTAATTCCAATACTTTCAATAACATTTCTAAGCCAAATTATGGCTTCTATTGGATCGTTACGATCAATTATAGCTTCATTCGTAATGTCAAGTAAAGTTCTATCAATAACCAGCGTATGGTAAGATAAACGAGGCATAGTACCTATATATGGTTTATCCGAAGGTACAGGAGTATCAATATCGTCATTAAGGTAGAATTCTTCTAATTTATTGACTGACATATAAGGATCTGTATAAATAGTACCATCATTTATTTTATAAAATAACAAATCTTTGTGTTTATTTATATGTTCATATGCGTCATCACGTGTTATTTTTGTTAAATTAAATTTTTCGCACGTACAAGAAATTTTAATTAAAACAATTAACAACATTACATAACTAATGGAAATCATATTGAAGAAAATTGAGAAAATTCTATGAATGAAAATCTAACGTCGATGTTTTGAATAAAATAATTTATTAGAATCATACTTTTTAATCTACGTGGCTTTTTTATATTATGAAAAAAACTGTAAAATAATTGAAATAATAATAACTTTTAACATATTTATTAAATCAAATAAATTGTTATTACATTTTTCGGTGACTAAAAATACTAAAAATAAATTGTTCACCATTTAAAGGCAACAAGTATTAGTTTACTTGCGAGTTTAAAGATGAACATTTTATATGGAATTCTTTTATACATTATAATACAAAAATTTATGAACTAAAAACAAAAATAATAAAAATAATAAAATAGGATAATGAATTTAACTTACTATTAAGATTATTGTATATGTCTTGTAGTCCCAGTGTAACTTTCCTAAATGCCCTATAAAGATGTCCTTTAAATAATTTAAATTAAAAGATATTTAAAAAATGAANCACTACTAGAACTCGTCCACATGATATTAAAAAACATTTATGGGATAAAAGGTACTTATTGTTCTCTAAATACGACCAAGGAATCATGATGGACAATGGTAATAAAATAATTATTTATACAAACTTTAGTATTTTGCTATTAACGATAACATTTTTTTT